TGTGTGTGTGTGTGTGTGTGTGTGTGTGTGTGTGTGTGTGTGTGATGTTGCGACTTTTCCGATCGATATGATTTAAATGGCGTTTTTAAGAAAGCGAGATGCACCGCGAGGGGAAAAAACGCACGGGCCGGTATGTATGACTCAAATTGTAATTTATACGGCTATTACCGGGCCACACGTTGACCATTATAAATTGTCGCTGTATCTGCCGGCGCGTTCTTATTTATAGTTGGCAAATAAATGCCGCGATAATGCGCCGCGTCCAGTCGGCGTATTTGCGATTCTAATAGCCGTGCATTTAGCACGCCGCGGTACATTCAGGTAAACGCGAATGACGCATGGCGAGGGTAATTAAGCAATTACGGGGGTACAATGTTCCTTGTCGCTCTGGGGAGAATGAATGTTCGCGTGCCGTCCCGGAATTGTAACAAGGAAAGTGATTTCGAGTGGAATTAAATTCCTGTAACTTGTGCGCAGGAGGAGAGTTCGTTTTGCAGAACGAGTCAGTAAATACATGTAAATGCTTAAAAGTTACAATCTCGGACTCGTTATGACTCAAAATAAATATAGATTCGTTGAGGACGAATCAGTATTAACGAGAAGCACACAGAATTATCAAAATTTGTATTTGTAAATTATACTGTAAATTAACATTTTATAAAATAGCGATGCTAAAACGATAACTATCATATTTATCAATTTTTTATAATCCCACAAAATTCAATATAAGTATCAATTTCAAAGTCACAACAAATCACAATTCAACAGAAGAATACACAGAGATTCAACAGAGATAGAGAAACATATATTATTTATTATCAAAGATTATTATTTTATGCGGTGTATATTAACGTTGATAATTCAACAATGTAGCAATTAAATACTAGATACGTACAGAAAGAACAAAATAAGATACCCAAGGATCACCAACAAAGTAGTTAGGTTGCTAATCTATGTGCAATGATTTTTTTTCAGTAGAAGAAATGTATCCTTCTATTCCAATTTGAGAAATCACCCGCAATGGCTGTCCACGTGTCTGATCTAACTGATTCATACGCGCGCATTTGCATTGCGGTCGCGTCCCCGCCAAGAGACACGTTATTCGAAGCATGTTGCATTATTCTAATCAAGACTCTAATACCAAAGAGCTTTTGCTTTTATTCGCACGTGAGCAATGCGGCTCGTTTGTATCCGTAATGAGCGCGATTGGCCACTATATGCCAATCGATTCGATTCTACGGACGGTTTCCAGACGTATCTTTTCATTCAAACAAACCATTGTCTTCCTTTCACTCAAGAGAAATTTGAAAAAATTGAATTAGATTAGTTGACTCATTAATTATTAAGAATCATTAAGAATTATATTTATCACTGCTGAACTATATATCCGCTTTAACTGCAAAATTAATTTTTGTTAAATATATCTTTAAATGTATAAAGGTAAACGCAGAGGTAAAAAACATAATTTCACTCTGTACGATCTCGTTAAAAAGTCAAAATTGACGTATAATATCAACAATGCAAGCAACATTCTCTCGTCAGATAATTTACGACATACCGATCGAAAACACATAATTAAGAAAGTTCAAGTTACTAGTTGCTAAAGTACTTCTGTCTAACATTATATGAAACAACATCAATTGCCTCTTTCGATGCCGTGGATTCATTAATCACAGCTTAGAAGTCATTTTTCAATATGCATCGATCAATTTATTGATACCAGCCAGATCGATACCCGATCGGCGCATCTGATAAGTCCCGTCGACAGAAGCGAGGAACTCTGATTTACTGGCGACCTTAGCTTCGTGATCAAGAAGGAACGAAGTGGCAAAGGAATGAACGAAGAAAGGAGGAGCATCGAACGAACGAAGAGGAAGAGAAAAAAGAAGTGTAGAGGCGGCGGCGACAGGAGAAAGAGGAAGTCAAGACAAGCGTGTAACAAGCGTCGCTGGCATTAATTTAGAATGAGCTCTACGACCCTATGCAAATTTCTCGTGTACAGGAAATCCTAAGAAGTCGACTGTGGTATGAGACGTGTTGCCTCCCTCTGTTCGTCCACGCCGCTTCTTTCCTCTTTGCGGCAGTACTCACTTGAAATTCATCGCGCGCGCGTACAATAATGCGTTAACTCTTACTTTTAACCTATGAAATACTACTTCCTGTCAGTGTTTAATATCCCGCATCTCGCGACATCAACAACATCATCCTTAGTAGATAACTTATGACCGTGATGAGCCACTGAATGATGTGCCACTTGTTATCGCTATGTCCAGTTATCGAGAATTCCACTGTAGATGTTCTCGATAAGCGATGAAATTAATCGATAGAAATTAAATATAAACGGGTGAAATGTGTGATCCACAAAGCGTAAATCAATGAAACAAGAAGAAAAGTCGCAGTTACAAAGAAAATGAGAAATTAACGACAGAAACTATCAGCGGATTACATTAATACGATGTAATGCAACATTACATCTGCATAACGTGTCATCTTACGTGTTCAAAATTATGAAAAAATCCGATTTATATAAAATTCATACGTATGTATATGAGATGCTTGACACATTTCTTATAATAAGCTAAATATTCTCTGGAGATTATCTGAGCATCACATACGTGAACAGTTACTGGAGTAAGGATTATTTAAAATAAAAATAAAACATTATGATGTGAAAATGAATCATTATGAATGAAACTTTCCAAGATAAAAGATTTTACTAGAAATATATATGTATTAATTGTACTTACTCGGATGAGGATAATTTTCGTTTACGATCTCCTGAACGGATGGCCACTCCTAAAGAAGCTTGGTAATCAGCGTATTTTTGTATGTTGTAGGTATTCGTTTTACCTAGAGCTTTCATTACTATGTTAACTTGATCCCTACGATGTAGTCCTATGTACGCAGACGTGTCGTTTAACCAAGATATTTGTACACCTCCTATAACATTATTATATTATGTCAAAATAATAAGATTTATATAAATGGAAATAATTACATATTAAGTGAATGAAAGGATTCTGCAACTGCATACATACCAAATGGACTAAACAATTGATTTATATCATTAAACTTCCATTCTTTTGGGAATGTCATATGAAATATATGATCTCTATTTGGATTAGCTAAAAATATATATATATTAATGGCATAAAATTTCACATAAAATATATGAAAAAAAGGTGAGATTTTAAACAATACTTACGATCTTCTCCAACCAAGTTTATATATGGGATATCTTTCAATCTTGCTATAAGAAGTCTGTAATAAAACTATAAATTAAATACTATTCTAAGCATACTAAATATCACAACACCTACTTGTTTAGGAAAGGATTGAGTAGCGGTGAATCCGACAGAACTATCGGCACTTCGGGATTTTGTAAGGAACCTGAAAAAGAAAACTTACAGCAAGAATTTACAGACAGATAAAATCCTTAGAATAAAATCATGTTAGTTACTAACCAAGATAATTAGACAATGCAATGAAACATATTCCAGTTATATATGCATCATAACCAGCCTCGTGACATTTATCTGCCAATATAGAATAACTTCTACCCTCGACAGATTCCACTTCTGTAATTTTAAACGGTGATTTACTGACTGTTTCTAGCAATATACTTAAATTCGACGATGGTACATTTTCCTTAAATTGTTGCGAATGGCAAATTATTTTTGTATCTAAAATTCTATAAAAAAAAAATCATATAGTAATCATATAGTATTTATTATTAATCATATAGTATTTATTGAGATTTATAAGTTCAAGAAAAACATTGAAAATAGACTATGAAAAGGCTTACCTTGGAAATAGACTATGAACAAGAGACTTAAATTCCAAATATGACTCTGGTAAATGTCCAAAAAATTGATGTACTATGTGACAAAGATCTAGTAACATATTATGACCAACTATTAATTTTCCCTGAAACAAAAATATATTTTATTATTCCCTATTTTTTCGATAAATCAAACGCATTGATCAAAACGTACAGAATTTGAAATTTTTCTCATGAGCATACTCAATCCAACCGCCTGTTGAATTTCTATTCTTTCTTTCTCTCTTTTTTCAACATCTCTCTGTTCTTCTTCTTCCTTGGTTCCTGATCTTTGTATAACAAGACTACATGCAAAATTCTCCAATTTACTTTCAATTCTCAATTTATTTGGCCACCTCAACTTTGCTTCCTGATAAACGAGTCGTCTAATGAAAGCATTACATTTATCGATTACTAGTTCTTCTTCTTCTTCAGAAGTGATGAATTCATCTATCTTTCTACTAAAATGATTTTCAATTAAGTTTCCCCTATATTAATGGACGAAAAATGTTGTTGTGAAACGAAAAATCGAAAAATGATTTATTTTTACCAAATCTCTTCAATCTGAGGTCTGTCAACGTCCGAAATAGGTAATAATTCTCCTCCTGCTATGTCCTCCCTTATTTTTTGCTTTTCCTCCAATCGTTTGACCAATTTTTCTTCTTCACTTGCGGTTAAATAAGGAATACCAAATTTGAAAAGTTTATTGAAATCGAATCCTTGCGATGTCAAAAATGATATACATGATGTTTGACACATAAATCTGCAATCCGTAGCCGAGCGATTTAAGGGACGTGGAAAAATATAAATATTGTATGATCGTTGACTATATCTGTAAAAGAAAAAGAATAATTCACTGATATGAATAATTAATAAATCATCAGATATATAATAAATTTATACTAATAAATCAATATTACAGCTACCAACTTAATAAAAGTTTACTTTAATAAACTTTAACACTAACAAGAATTTAATAAATTAGCAAGAGTGAAAAATGTATTAAATTTACGAAAATCTACTGTATGCGTTACATGTTATTTCATACTTTTGAGTTTCTGTGTTAAATGTAAATATAGAAAGGCCGAATTGTACAAGAAGAAAGTCCATTGATCCTGATCTCAATTTTGCATAATATTGAGCGGGCGTGTCAAAGGCACCAGCATCAGGTCCTGAATTAAGTCCTGTGAATTCGCCATCGATACTAATGAATGTTGCATTTTCTATGACTTCATTCAACTCCGCAAAGACTTCTTGAAAATCTGTAAAATGTTATTTGTATTAAAACTTGGATTAACTTTAATTATTATATTTGCATATATACGCAATGATTGAAAAAATAATAATAACAATAAAGACGTGGATTTTTTAAATATATTATAGTTTTAAATATAAAACTAGAAAAATAAGAACTTTTTGAGCAATTAAAGGTTGGTAGCAGTGTTATTGGAATCTTTAAATTTAACGTACGAGTCCGCGATAGATTACGCAATTATTATTAAATTATTGTAATAAATAAGTAATTAATCACCAGAATAGTGTTCCGTGTAGAATAAAATTGCGTGTAATTATTTGTTAAAAAAAATTCGTGATGCAAAAACAAAATAAATTCAACATTGCATGGGATGCCAAAAATAATTCAAAAGCGCGGCAGCTTTCCAAGAGAGAAGGTAATTCAGATTTTTAAATCGTAAATTAGATATTTCTAATACATTTTCATTTTCATATAAATTTATATATATATATATATATATACTACCTATACTATAGAATATTATTCAACATTTAATAATATTTTTATGAATATTTGAAAATTTTTCATTTCAAATAATTTTTGCTAAAGATGTAATAATGGGTAAATTGAAGATACTGTTACTTCTAAATTAATCGTTTTAAAATATGTTATAAAGAAATAGAAATATATATATATAGTATATAATACAGTAATAGTAGATATATATATAGTATATAATATAGTAATATATATATTACCTATTATTATACTAATATACAATAATAAAGTCAATTGTTTAATATATAATACACTAAATACGATACTAAACTCAATTGTACAAAATTCAAGATCTTTCATTCATATATAAGTATCATCATCTATAGTTAAATATTTATGAAATAATATTATTGTAATATTTGATATTATTACTTTTTTTTTCTATAATTTAAATGATGTTTTCAATAATGATTCCTATTAAATTTTTCTGACTATGTAAAGTATTATGCTAAAAATATATTTCCTATCTTTAGTTCATAATCATTTCATCTTTAAAGTATGATTTTATTCATCGCACAAAGTGTATTTCTAATAAGCATTACAACTTACTTTCTTACACCAAAACGTCATAACCTAAAAAACTAAATATTACCTTCAGACAGTGATTATACTTATTACGAGATTGAGAAAAACAAAATATTATGTAAAATGTTTCCATCATAAGTTCATAAATTATATCTATAATATTACAATTTTAAAGTAATTGTAAAATTCTATCAAAACATAAGCAGAAATATTATGACACGTGAGAAAAACAAATTTTGTTTCATGTTGTGTTTCAATCTTTTTCTGGTAATTGTTCGCATTTTTACACGTTTAATTTCTAACAAGCAACGTGTTCATTGTACAACGTGATTACAAAGGAATTAGAACGTTACAAATATATAATTCTGCTTTCAATTATTATAAAATATCGAAAGTATAAGTTGTGTGTTGTATCTTCTCCGATTACTCACTCAAAGAAGTCACTTCCATCTTTTCTTAACCTTGCACTTGCTTATCCACATTCAATCTGCAACAGATATTTTCTATTTTCTTGCCGGAACTGAAATTAAACACGAAAATTAACGGGATCCATCTATTCCACACGACCTTTTCGTGGTTGACCACATTAAATAGGTATATAGATTAGAATGAGGACTCCATCGATAAAAATAGCACTGTGTCCGGATCGCCATCTGGAGTACAACTGACATACTACTTCTTTACGCTAGGTTCATTGATGCTAGTAAATAAACCATAACCTAACGATAATGATAGAATACCCAGTCTAGGAAACCAGTCTAGGAACAAATAGAATAAATTACAATAATAATTTTTTAATGTATATATATGAAAAATAATGCAAATATAAAGTAATGGGAACAATATTAACTTAATTTTGTACGTGTTTATTTCTCCTTTATTTTTAATTATTTTTATTAGAAATAAAATTAGAAAGAAAATCATACATAACATTTATCTAGAAATAATTTATAAATTAATAATTGATTTAAAAAATATTTTAAAGTATTTTGTGAGGAAATCTATGCACTTCAAATAATTAAATGTTGGATGATGTCAATTTTCATTTGTCACTAAGTACTTAGCCTAATTAAAAACTTATCACAGCTGCAACATATCGCTTTTAACATTAATGTTTTAAAAGATAGAGTTTTAAAATACATGAATAGGGATGAAATAAAAACTTTTCAGAACTTCAAAGATTATTGCATGTATTGCTTTAACAATTGGAATTTTATTACATTAAAAAACACACCTTATAGATTTATATAGAAATATTTTACTCACACTATAACAATACGAATTATTATTTAAGAAAAATAAATTTTTAAGGCATGAATCATTTTGATAAAATTAGAAGAGTAAAGAAAAATTAAAGCGGATCAGAATTATTAATGCCAAACGTAAATTTATCAGTCACCGTACACTCGTGCAACAGCTTTCCTCATCTCCAATTCTGACAAATTATGATAAAAATATACTTATATACTAAAAGATACGTCTAAGTACTACTAGTGAGAATATATAAAACACAAGGCAATCTATAAGCGAATTCTGAAACTAAAGTTCCATAACACACCATATAAATATTTATATTATTGTAACATCGTAGAATGAACACATGTAGAAACTAATATTACTAAAGCAATTAAAAAATATTTAGTGGACAGAATAGTTCGTTATAAACAAAAATAAATTTCTAGCTGATGCGATAATGGACAATTGCAATAAGTCACGAAATCATATAACGCATAGTTATTATATTCATTTCCAAAATAACATAATTAGAAAATTTAGTCGAATAAAATCTAGATAAATCACATTTGCCCAATCGTATAACGAAATAACCGGATAGATTGTTCCAATAGGGTTGGAATCTTGAATCAATATTTTTACACGTATATCGTGCTGAAACTTTTATTTTTTCGTGCTGAAAAATTTTACTTGGAAACCAATAATTCTCTGAAACAAAAAATCTTTAATAACCTTTCAGATTCTTCTCTTTGATATGCATTTATTTAGAATAAATGTGTATTCTGAGAATTCGTGATCTTATGTTGTAAATCACATTGCAATATTTTAACAAATTTTTACATTAAATTGTAAAATTTTTAATCGTGTAGTTTGTATATAAGAATAAAACAAAATTAATAGATTAATTTTTTTATAATGATAAATTAGAAATAATTCTGTACATAAATAATTTTGTATAATAAAAATAATTCGTATATTAGAAAATCATTTTGTTAGTTTCGAAATGTAAGATTTAGTTACCTTTTAATTACCACGAATTATTTATTCTACATTTAGATTCATACAATTCTGTCCTCTTCATTTTTATTTTTAAACGTTAATTAATTTTCAAATGTTATTAACATTCTACGAATATAATCTTGCAACGACCTAGCCGCGACCTATTTTCAAAAGTTATCTTCCGTTGATGTAGGGAACGTTTCCTACGAAGAAAAATTCTAGTATATAATGAAATAAGTAACCGGAAATAGAATTCAATCATATCGGCAAACAATTTGCAGTGATAACAAGCGGATGTTCCGCAATCCGTTACTTCCGCACCAGAGCTAATTAAAGCGAATTGAAAGGTAATTGAATTAAGCTTTCAATCGTTATCTCCACGATGTGTTCCCGGCTCGTGGACTGCGAATCGTTTCCTTCAAATGGTTGGTCGGACGGGAAGATTGGAAGAACAATACTTCGAAATAAAAGCGAAGAACAAGATTCGAAGGATCCAATTTAGAACGGAATACGCCTATTCGAGGTTCTGCACAATGCCAATTTCTTTCCTTCCCAGAGGGTCTGGCTGTTTTTGGGGCGGCTAATAGTTTCTGATCAAGTTTCCGCCTGTGTTTGTCATTCATTATTAATTATCGAACCAGTCTGGCAAAGCATATTACGTTTCTTTATATCGATAGCAATTAATAAATTAATCAGAATGTTATTTTTTTGATTAGCAACAAAGTTATTTAATCATAGAAAGCTGCCAGTAGGTGAAAAGATCTTGTGACGATTCTTGATTATGTTTATCGTTCTTTAGCATCTTCAATTTCAATTTTGTTTCGAGAAAATATTCGCGATATTACATTGTTTTTTATTGATCTTAATCCACATTCACATAAATCACTTTCTACAATATCCATTTCACTATACTGAGAGCCCATTTTCTAATTAATACAATGATTTATAAAGTTGAAGAATTTTGCGAGATTCGTTGCAAGAACCGTTCGTTCAATTCTATGAAATGGGATGTCCTATAAATTGAAATAAAACGAATCTTTAAATATTTAAAGATTCCTCTTGTAATGATAAGAATTGTCACTCGAATCGTCGGGAATTGCCTCAGGTTGCGCAGTTTCAAATTATTTGACCGGCGAATAATTTATCAGTTTGGAGAAACGCGATTACAATCAATGAAACGCTTAATACCTTGTAAGAAGCTCTCTATAGCTTCGAGTATCCCACAGCGCATTATTTTCGTTCGAGTTGTTTGAAGATATCGGCGGGTCTCAGCGACCCTAATGCCATTACTTCAGTTTCTATCGGGTGTCCGTAATTTATATGACCACTCGAAAGAAAAGTTGCGCAAGGTCCCGCAGCCGATAAGAAGCCATTTTTCACTTTGCCTACGCGAGACCGACGAAAGCCAGTCGGTCGATGGTGCTGGCAATAAGAAAACGAAGAAGGAAAAAAAAAAGGGGCCACCCTTCGAGATTTCGCACCTTCGCCAGAGGGTTGAACCATTTCCCAGGACTTAATTTCATTGTGCCCCCCGTCGTCAGTTATTCTTATTATTTTTCTCCTTCGCTCCCTAAATCATCAATTTCCCTTATTAGCTGTATTCCTGATTAGGAAAAATACCCCCCTGAACGAACCGTTTCCCCGTAGATATTTTTGCACCGATCTAATAGCGTTATGATATCAGCCAGCCTCGTGTAATTCCCTACTGAAATGATCTGGAAAAAATAAATGGATTAATAAAATTACACGAAACCTCGGAGGAAAAGAAATCATAAGATTTCATTCTAATCAAGCCGGTGTAGAACGAACGATTTTTTTAAATCACGGCGAATCGTTTTCAATGTGATTTTCAATTTTTTATTTTAATATTTTGAATATAATGAATATAATTTTTTTTAGACATTATTACAACAGATAGTCTATCTGCATATAGGGTTATTCAATTTTTAAACTAG